AAATAGAAAAAAGGCTACATGGCTTCATCCCAATGTAAGTGTGATGTAAATTGTAATTCTATAGTTAAATTTATGATAAATATTCACTAATTATGTCATTCAATTGTAGACAAGGCAACAACATAACTCTAATGATTGTGGATACTATGTGATGAAAAATATGTTGGATATTGTCTCTGCTAATATAACCGAGAATTAGATGCAGGTACTAAAAATAATTTTACTTTGTTATTTACTTTTTGTTTTTCGACTTAATATGAATTTTTAAAAAATAACTCTATATTGTTATATTTATGTATTATAGGTATTTGATGACCCAACAGAATTAACACCAGATGATTTGTATGATTTGCGACTTCGTTGGGCAAAATGTTTCTTTGAGTTACATGGAACTTAAGTTTATCTTGGTGAGTTTTATAGAATTGTATAAGTTGTGGTTTTTGCACAATACATGTGGTTTTTGCTCATGTGTTGAGTTTCTTGATTTTTTTTTGCTGATGTTAATTGTTATTATTTATTGTCAGGCAATATGATTTTGGTGTTGTCTACCGAAGATTTTATATTGGTAATTCAAGTTTGGAAACTTAGAAATAGTTGAATATTTTTGTATATGTATATTTTGTGAATATTATGTAATTGTAAATTTTGAAAAAGACTTATAAATAGTTGAATATTGTTTTATATTTTGTGAAGAATTTGTAATTGTAAGTTTGTTTGTTGTAATACAATACAAGTTTGCAATACAATTGTTCAATTTGTAAGTTTGTTGTGAAAAATATGAAAACATCGACCTAAATGTGATATATGTGATGTTGGAAAGCTATGAAATCTATATAGCGACATAAATATAGTCTTTTTGATATTGGAAAAATTTGAAAAAATGGGTACAAATTATATTTGTATAGGGAAACCCAGAAAATAAATAATCTATTCCAAAAAAATTTCATACATTTTACATCGGTTATTAGTAAAAACTTTCAAAAAGGGACTTTTTACATCGGTTGGGGATAATAACCGATGTAAAAAGTCGCGTCACTGGGGACTTTTTACATCGGGTATTACTTCCAACCGATGTAAAAAACTGGATCAATTTTTAAAAAAAATGTGCATAATAACTGTTTCTTACATCGGTTCATATATTAAAACCGATGTAAAAAAGGGACTTTTTACATCGGGTATTACTTCCAACCAATGTAAAAAACTGGATCAATTTTTTAAAAAATGTGCATACTAACAGGTTATTACATCGATTCTGAAATTATAACCGATGTAAAAAGGGACTTTTTACATCGGTCCCAAAACCGATGTAAAAAGTCCCTGATTTACTATATCGCCTGACTTTACATCGGACCCAAAACCGATGTAAAAAGTCAATTTCACCCGATGTAAAAAGTCATTTCTCCACTAGTGTAACTAATACCTTTTTTATCATATCATATCTCTTTTTTAATAAATTAACACACTAATTTTTTACATCAAATTTTATTAACTCTTTTACTTTCTTTTTATAACATAATTAAATTTCGAAAAGTAAAATAATCCACTAACTCTTCTTTTTATTATTTTTATCAATTACTCTTTTATTAGTATATTTAAAAATACATATTAATAAATACATAAGAAAATAGATTTTCTTTTATTTCTTTTTTGATTAAACATTTGTTTATATGTAAATACATTAATACATAAAATTTAAAACATTTTTTTCTTTTCTTTTATTAAAACTTTTATTTGTACATACTTAACAAAAATACAAAAAGAATAAATAAGTACTTAATAATATATTAAGTTAACACCTTGTAAATAAATCACTAACACAAATACATTGACACATTTACATTGCTTTATTCCTATACATTGATACATATTACATTTGAGATCGCAATTCGATTCCCCATTTGTAAATATTTGTACCCCCACTCCCGGATACTTATTTGTAATAGCGTAGACTTTAAATTCCCGCAATTTATCGCTTTCAAATATACCATGTTTAGACCTAGGGTTTGTATGTAAATAAAATCAAACGCTAGATAATCTAATACAAAGACAAATGCATGAAATCAATACACAATCACACTTGCACCCCTAGGGTAATCCCGCTTGTTGCCTTCCAAAATGGGCCATGCTTGCACGTTGAGTTCCTTTGGCAAAACGAATCAAATGATCATAGTCCCTCGATGACGCTTTCGAAAGTTGCCTAAACGAAATGATCATATTCCCTTCAAGCAAATTGCCAAAGACACTTGGCACCATTGCATTCATGGTCCATACGATGACCCGCGCCTGTCCCGTTAACATCCTAACGCAAGATTGCCCACCAAATACAATGGTGGAACAAAATTGTTAAAAGGGTTAAAACATGAGAAAAACCTTTGAGTAAATTTAGGGGTAGACAACTCTTAGTTACTTGATCAAACTTGCAAAACACACTTGCCTACTTTTCAAAATCCACTTCACAATACACTTCCAAAAACATTTGAAACATCTTTTCAAAAAGACAAACACCTTTGCATATACTCAAACAAGAGTCATTTCAACGGTTGCCTAGACAATGCATCTTTTTCAAAACATTTGCAAAACACACACACCACAATTTCAAGCAATTGAAAATCAAGGCAAGTGATCTAAAACAAGTAACTAAGAGCCCATGGATAACCATGAATGAAAAGGGTGCTAATACCTTCCCTTTTCATAATCTACCCCCGAACCCACGAAACATCTCAAAAGTTTTTCCTGTGTTATTTAGTTGCGGGAGACATCACTGAGGAGGCAATATGGTAGAACTCTCATCGGTGCTTCAGAGAAGAACATTGAACTCTCATCGGTGCTTCAGAGATGAACACTGATGTGAGGGGGTGTATGATGATATTGATGAGTGTTTTAGGTTGCGTATAACTAATCGGTAGATTTAAGCATTTGATGGGTAGATGAAATTCAATCCCGGTGAGTTCTCCCCCTCTCTAAAAAATGCATTATTTACTTGCTCATATGTTTTACTTTCCGCATTTTACGATTTTAAATCATTCAAACCAAGCTTAGAAACGTGGATACTATTGAATGATATTTGATCCATCACACCAATCTCTGAATACGATAAAACCCGTAATACTTTCAAATTAATTTTTACTTGCCGCTTTACTACGTCGTAACAGTCCACCATCACTCAACAAGCATTAGATGGTAAAACCTGGATAGAGGTTTAACATTTTGACAATGTCAGATTTGAATATGTAAATTGCAAAATTTACCTCAATTGTTTCCTTAGCTGGTCGTGGATTGGCTGCTGCAAAAGACCAATATGAAAAAATGAAAGCGTCTTTTCCTTTTTATATTTACATTATTGTCTTTTAATATTTACTTTTATATTTACTTTATTTTCTTCATAACACTCTCGTCATTCAGGCCACATTTCTTAGGCCTTTTTAATTTTCGAATATGCCTTTTATTCTTTGTTAATCTTAATGATTTTCTCAAAACCGAATTAAATCGGCTCGCAAACACCAGTAAACTAAATTGACTATCTTAAAAGAACTAGGTTATTGAACGCATTGAGCGGCGTAGGTCAAGCAAAGGCGCACTCTCCGGACATTCTAGAAATCAGTTATACGCGTTTAACCGTTTCACACCCAAAACCCTAGTTCTCACTCCCCACTCTTTATAAACACCTCCTTTCCCTTGACTCAATCATATCTCTCTTCAATTAGGGTTTCTCCGTAGCCGCAATGTTTCTGAAACTCTGTTATCTGTTTTTTCGTTCAATTGAATTGATTTCATATTTCAACCTCGATCGCGTTTGAAGGTGACGATGACGAATTGTGATTAGGTCTCGTTCGTCGTAATGGCCAAATCGGCCTTGCCGACCATCCTGTTATATCACCACCCATATTCTGAGTCTCTTCTTTCTTCATTCTAATCACGCTTTCCGTTTTTCTTTTCTCGATCGCTTTTTTTTCTTTCAGTTGGCCGATGATTAAACAAAATTATAGACAAGCATATGTCTGAATTAATTCATGTGGAAATTCTAATCTTCTCTATGAGGCCTTTTTTATTCTCTTAATTACCCTTAGATATAGGGTTTGGATTAATTTTCCCCAATTTTTCTTTCAGATTTATGTTTGTTATTGTTCCAAAGATGAGATGGATGGATAATGTGTTAGGGTATGAATATAGATGATTATTATACCATACTGCCTTCCTTCTGAGGATTTTTAGTTTATCTTTTTGTTTAATTTTCTTAACTTTTAATTTGAAGCTAGATTAACATAGTTGATGGAGATTCATGTGATGATGAATAGCATAGTTCAACTGATTTATTCATGATTAAACAAAACTTTAGTCTTTCGCTCCTATCTGATGATTCTCCATTAAAGATCATGTTAGTCCTGTTGAAGTTGTGTTTCATTATCTATTTTATTTTAACTTGATTTTGATTTGTATTTATTTGCTACTTTTGGGACATTCGTCTCCCCCGGGTGCAGTGTTTCTGATTTCTTTTGGGAAGAAGACGTCCCTAATATGTAAATTATCCATCTGTTTCACTTTGTCATCTATTTTTTCTTATATTTTTCTTATATTTTGCTGATCATTTTAGGATGGGATATTATTTTGAATCACTTGTTAAATTTTTTCTCAAACTACTAAAATGTCATCAACGATATAACTTCAAGGCTTGTTTCTCAAAACATTCGCAGTGGCCGACCAAGAGTTTTTGCCTTCGCCAGGCTTGAGAGCTTATGCTGTTTTTATCCTTCCTTGGATGTCTGAGACGACTCTTATGATGTTTATTGAATTGTGAATGTTTTTATTTGTTAAACTTTCTATGTTGTTTAGATTGTACGATGATGATAAATCTAAGGCTTGTTTCTCAAAACATTCGCAGTGGCCGACTAAGAGCTTTCGCTTCGCCAGGCTTGAGAGCTAATGCTGCTTTATCCTTCCTTGGATGTCTGAGACTATCATTTTATCTGTGTTACTTTTAATATTGCATTTTAGTTTTCCTTATGTGTTTTTTAAATTATGTTTTTTTATATATCTTCGTTATTCATTTCAGAAATACTTATAAATCTCTCACTATCATCATTGTTCATTTAAATAGTGATTGCTATTGTCTCTTGTCATTTAGACTGCAAAATATTTATTTATTTCAATGTTTGGTGTTACGGCAGGATGTGACAGAGATTGGAATTAACTCCACATACTACGATACTCTAATTTGAGTTTTAGATGACTCTAAATTTGCCAGAGTAACATGAGAGGGACTTTGGAATAATCTATATGAATCCTAGTTGTCACATGTATTGCTTTGACAGATACTTGTATTGCACATGCTAGTCATTTGTAATATAATGAAACGTGGTTGATGAAATAGTATTCCGATGAGCAGTGTATGTCAATATACACACAGAAGACACGACAACATCATTTCTCAATCTCGCAAACACTGTGTATATGAATCACATAAGTTCTTAGTATTAATAATTCCTTCCTAATCCCCTTAAGTACCTGATTTTCCAAATTTCAAGAACTCTTAAGCAATTCTTACCGTCATCTCTACTAGTTTTCCAATAAGATTTCTAACTCTCCTCTTTGTCTTGAACTAAATTAGGAAAGTTGTGAGGAAAATAAGAATATATATATATATATATATATATATATATATATATATATATATATATATATATATATATATATATATATATATATATATATAACTACTGAAATCTATTTGATGTACAGAACAAAATCATATTAACGAATGACGAATCGAAATGACCAAGTCAAGTCAGATATTTGCCAGTATGGTTCTTAAATCAAATTTAATTCTATATGCTTTCAAATGCCTCCTTTAAGGTCCCACAAAGCATAACATCAAAAGTCAAATGATAATTAGAAGTCTTAGTAATTGTTTTCTCACTATTACTAGTATCTGTCATAGCTTAACCTTTATCTCCAGGTCTTTACTCTTCTTACTGTGACGTGACTCACCAAAAGTAATGATGAACTTTAGTCATCTAGGTTCCAATTCCAATAACTCATAACCCTTTCCACTTTTTGGATAGCACTTGAGACATTATTCTCAACTTTACCATTAAATTGGATTGCATATAAGAAAAGTTTTGACGAACTTCAAAATAGAGTGCTTTCTATCTAGGTAAACTGATTTGGCACTACCCAACCAAAGAGCCATGACAGTACCAATCAAAAAGACGGTTGTTGCTACGCCAAAATGGGTTTTTGAACTTATCAACATTCTCCAAAAAAGGCACTGTTAATAATCCCGCCGGTACTGAAACCATTAGAAGAACACCCAATAATTTATTGGGTACAATACGAAGTATTTGAAATACGGGAAAAAATACCATTCGGGAAAAAAAAATACCATTTGGGCAATATTTCCAAAGGAGTTGCAAACGGATCTGCGGGTTCTCCAATCATTGATGGTTCGAGAACCGCTAAGCCTACGTTACAGGCAATAGTACCCAGAATAACTACTGGGTAAATATATAAAAGATCATTAGGCCATGCGGGTTCGCCATAATAATTATGACCCATTCTTTTGGCCAATTTTTCTCTAAATACAGGATCATTCAAGTCAGGTTTTTTTGTTATTGGGATAGGTGAATTCTTATAGATCCATCCTTCGAAAGAACCGGACATGATAATTTTTCATCATCCGGCTCGAGCACGAATCAAACCAACTGAATGCAGACATAGAAATTTTGTAGATGTGAGTCACTCATATATCATGATTCTATGTAATAAAATGGGTTGAATTCTTTTTTTCCCCGAAATTACAACTGTCCATTGCAAAAAATTAAGTTCTTCTTTTTAAGTAAATGCTTTTCACCAAGTAAGTTTTAAAATAAAAACCAAAATTTCTTTCTGGGTGATCTCAAACCTTTCGCCTGTTATACCTCGAAAAATGAATTTTGGAATTTTTGACATAGAAAGGATTTACTTGTTACTAATAGAATACAACCCCCCTTTTTCTTTAGATCTACTTGTTTAACTCTGATAGTATCATAAATTGAGTCAATGCATAGGAAATGAATGCATTTCCATACTATGTAAGTTTAATGAAATACATACGACATAATCTAGATTATATCATATTCCTTTTTTTATTGGATATTACGGAGCCTGTTCATGCAGGATATGATCGAGTCTGATCATAGAAAAGATTATCTTCAAGTGAACCGGACTATCCTCTGTAGGGGACTGACGCGGTGGTTGGAACAAAGACACATTTCATTGTGAATTCAAATGTGGCAGATAAGATCAAGTCATATATCTGCATGGCCCAATCAATAGTTCAAGTCACACACTCCCATAATCCATTCTTTTTTCGGAGAGTTCCCTTCAACTATTTGTGTATGTCAAATAAAGAATCCAGTTTATTTTGTTAAGTTGAAGGGAAATATCCAAATACATGTCTTATTAAAGAAAAATAATGCATATTTGTAGCAATGAAATACTATTACTCCTCCCGAAAATGATTGATTACAAATCTCTATGATTCATATTCTCTATAAAGGACCAGAAATTCCTTGCTTACGTATCATTGGAAAGTGCATTAACATGAATACGACAGTAAGAAGAGGTAATACAAAAGTATGTAAACTATAAAAATGAGTCAAAAGTAAATTGTCCCACCGTCGGGGCATAAGTGCCCTCTTGCTACCCATATGCGAGGCGCCGTCTTAGCCTTCCCTGACCAGGATCGCTCCCACACCTGCAGCATTCGTGATCGGCCTACTCAATTGTGTATCGATCGAAAGGCATGGCGGCACAGCCCCCAAGGGAGTGGTTACATCCAGTATGTCCCCCCTTCTTCCCGACATGCTATGGTGCCCCCCGGGGGGGGGGGGGGGGGTAGGAGCGGGTCGAGTCCGTATCGCCGCGGAGCAACAGCCGCGTCCAGATCTGATCCATCTACTCGGCAATTCATCTGGTGACTTCACGGTCGCCAAAGAAGCCCCAAGAAGCATCAAACATTTCTGATGAGATCCATGGAGCATTTCTTAGATAGCAAGCACTAGCTCCCGGTGCGACTTCATAAAAAGCAATCAAAGATAAGATCGAAGAGAATGAAACGCACGTAGTGGTCATTATAGCGGTTCCTTCTGATCCTAGAAAACGTCCGAAAAAACCAGATACGGAACTACCGAGCAGGGGCAAAAATACGATAAGTAGATACATAATTTCGAGTGTGATCAGACAACCAAAAATCAGACAATGACAGAGTGGCCTGTAATAAGTGTCAGACCCTCAACAAAAGAATGGATTAAGGTGATAAAGTATTATCAGGAGACGCTAGGTTTCGCTTCGGAATTGAAAAAAACTGCACTTTTTTCGTCAGCAGATTTCGCTCATCAAGTTATTGTTTGATCTGCCGCTATTAGAACACCACAATATTCGTCCTTTTGGGGTTAATGATCTCAATGGTGAATCAATCGTTCGATATCCTCCTTTTTTTCCTTTTGTTGTAAGAACAGAATGGAAGAAAAGTAATGAAACCCGCGATGGCTACTGAATAACCTCCTTTGACTTTGTCAATAATAAAGCCTTTTACCTTTGTATTCGTTCGCCAAATCTTGTTCAGTTTCATCCAAGCTCGGTTTTGTCTGAATCTTCGTGGAAGAAGAAGAAGCGGTTCACCGGCCACTACATCTGTGGATCCCACCAAATCATTAAACCTGGTGGCTGCTCGCTCTTTGATCAGTGATTCGCCGACCACTAGATCGATGAATAATCTCTCTAAAATCTTCTTTTTGATCAGTGATTCACCGGTCACTAGATCTAGGAATCCCACCTTATTCTCAAACCTGGTGGCTCGGTTGATTGGCACTACTGTAGGCTCATCTTGCATACAATTTCTGGGGGTCCCAGGTCCTGCATCCACCAAGAACATTTCTTCCCCTAAGCGTAAAACTTCAGATTGTAAGGACTTTCCACTACATAAGAATAAACTTGAATTACATCTTGGAAATGATCGACACAAATAGATGCTCATCATAAGATTTTTTTCCTCCTCTTCCTGTTCTATTGATCAGAAGCATCCAGCAGCGCTGCGCCAGTAGAAAGAGTTAATCTACTAAGCTAAGTGTTGTGGAACTCGGTAGAAGCGATTTTCCGCTTCCGCCTCTCTAGGCTTCACAATGGCTCCCCCCTATATAGATAGAATTTTCAATGAGTCTTCTCCCCTCAACTATAATTAATATAAGAAATCCGAAAGGAATTTTCAATTCCGAAGGATTACCCTTTTGTTTGAGCAGGGGGCTTCGAGTCCTGTGTTGACAAAGATCAGATAGGATCCTGTTGTGATCCTCGATCTCTTCCTTAATATTGATCAACGTTCTATCGATAATTCAATTAAAGATCGAGTAAAGGGAGAATGCTTCTTTAAAAATAAACTAATCAATAGAAAACTAATTCCATTAATTAGGAGACCTAATATAATCCCCCAATCCATCTCTCATTAGCGAAAGCTACCTACCAAGTTTTGCTGAAGCTCTGCCAGTATAGCACGGTGCTCTTTTTGAGTTTCTTTATATATATTCGCTGAACACTTCCAATACCTCACCACACCGATTTCACAGCTCGATTAGAGCAACTCGACTTTCTTCGCAGCTTTCGAGCCTTATCTTGTCTTGCTTGCTCTTCTTTAAAGAAATTGCTTGAGCGGCTTTCAAAGAAAATCAGACCGCAACGGTAGGAGTCTTTCTTAGTGCAATACGTTCAACAACCCTTAAAGCGTGCGGGCGGCCCTAGCGTACAGAAAAGAAAGAAGTAGTCCTATTCGAAAACGAAATTTAAGTCCTAGTAGGTGCGATATTGAAGGCCTTTCCTTCACGGGCTTACTTAGTGCTTGTGCTAAGGAGTTCAGGGCTAAGGGCTAGAGCGTAGGAAGCATTGGCTATCAGAACCCCCGGAGGGAACTAACTCCTTTCTTGCAAAGCTACTTCATGATAAAAAAGTTGTATTTGTATTGGATCCGCTCTTCTGTTAGCATAAACATGAATTAGATTCTATTAGTCTTATTTATTCTTAAGAGAACCCCCACCCGAACCATTCTTAAGACCACCAAGCTTTCTCGAATGAGTTCTATTTTTTTTGCTTTCGAGATACACTGGGGGATAAATCTCCTCCTAACTAATAAGTGAAACTTTGTGCCTAGATCGTCCTGAAGACAGATGCGACGGGAAGAAGTGGCATTTGGAAGTGTTGCTGACTTAACATTTAGGTTTCAACATAACAAAGCTTGCATTGTCTTTTCGCACTTAGGCGCACAGCGTGCCATTGGTAATGATTCTACTACGGTGCCACAAATTCACAAACTGATCCTAAGTAATCGCTGTTGTTCATTAGATTCCGGAGGAACTACTTCGTTAGGATTGGGGAATTGTTGCGATTCTTCCTGAATAGCCTGGATTCTCCTGTCGAGAGTTACTTTGAAAGTATTACCTAAACTCTTCCGACTGAATATGATGAAGCCTATAAAACAACGAGCTACTATCATTTCTTCATTATAGATTAATATCTTATTCGAACGTAATGCACAAATAGATGGAATAGCAGCAAATAGCATCTTTCTAGCTTACATATGCGTGGAACTCAATCTCATTTAGAAAGGTTCTATCTATCTTTCAGCAACTAAACGTGAAGTGGTTTAGGAAAGGACTTTAGAAGAAATCGGATGCGCTCGCCCAACGATAAAGGCCCCGACCCTGCCCTGCCAACCAAGTAAAAATAAAAAATAAATAAAGAAGAGAACGAAAGGAGAAAAGATAACTTCATATTTTGGTAATTCTCTATGAGTCATGTTTAACCTTGAATGCTATTAATAAATTCTACAGCAATAGTCCCTCGGACTCGGAAAGTTATAACGAAAATGGCTAACCCAATAGCTGATTCTGCAGCTGCCACCGTTGAAACCAATAAAGCAAATGATTGACCCATCATATCATTCGAAGAAACGGAAAATACCAAAAAGTTCGAATTAACAGCTAATAACATTGATTCAATTGGCATTGACATAATAGGAATATTTCGTCTATTAAGGAGGATTCCCCGAATATCTAAAATAGAGATGATCATAGAAAATGTAAAATATTTGGTAGGATCCGTTTCGGAAACATGGAATGTAAGAGAAATTCAAATGTTATATATAGTTTGCCATCGGGACTTCACTGCGAGAGAAAGAGGATAATTTCTTGAAACTCTTGACTTTGTATACCTAATTCAGTCAGATTCTTCAAAATGGTCAAGAGTTGCTCCAAAGACTCGGAATCGTGATGAAGGTGGGTTGCAATGTCTTGAATTCTCTTCCCAGGGGGAAGAACAAGAGCATTATGAAAATATATTTGGAGCAACCCCTATATTTGTTTTTTAATCTCCTCTCGAAGGGTGTCAAAACATAGGTCTCCCAGCCTTTCGGCCATATTTTCGTCGGTTAACCCCTGAAGGCGAACTAGTCTTACCCTAGAGACTCAACGACAACTCAAAGGTTGGATGTGTTTTTTTTTATCCACTGTCTCCTACAAAGCTCATTAAAGTGCATTGAAACAACCTCCATATATTTATCATGCATTGACATCAAATCACATATCTTGTTCTTTTCAGGAAAGACTTCACTAGTTGATAATGGATGGACAACAATATTGGAACCTTCTAAAATATATAATCCACCTATTTTAGACCCTTAGCCATGATTCCTCCACCATGTGAAATCTCCGTCACACCATGTTCAACTCTTGTGAAATAACATAGATCATCAAACTTGATTTTCGATAACAACATAAGCTCTGGAACACATCTCACATTGTAAAGAAGAAATACACATTTATCAAACATTTTAAGTAAGACTGTACCAACACGACGAACCTTTCAAGCCTTATTGTCACCAAGAAAAACTACTCAACCTTGCTTTGGCTACAAAGTCTTAAAGAATTATTTTTTTTACACGTTTGATAAGAGAAACCTGAGTCCATGACCCAACTTTCTTCTGTCTCAAAACTCGACTTCACTAGTGCACCAATACTCTCATAACTATACTCATATGATACAACTACAAAATGAGAAAAATAATCATTTGCTCCTCCACTTTGGACTATCCCTCATGAAGTCGTCGATTTTCTGACAAGTGAATCATTTTAACTTTAACTTGCCAAAACCATTTGATTTAGACATCTCTCTGAGCTCACTTCCTCCTCTTGAGACACTTGAGTCTTCACTATCATCAATCTCCAAATCATTTACCTTTAAAAAAATCTTGGGATCTCACTACCGTTTATACTTCATCCAAATCAATAGTATAATTTTTACCATAAAGAAATACATCCTTGAAGTGCTTAAAAGATATGGATAATGAGGTTAACAAGTGTAAGGGTTTGTCCTCATTGCCAATCTTCACTTTAATATTCTATAAATCATCAATGATCTTTTGAAATTTTACGAATTAGTCCATTATGGATTTTTCATTTACTATTCAGAATGAGTAGCGATATTTCAAACACAACTCATGACTCAAAGTCATGAAAAACGATGAATAGCATGAAAAAGGAACTCTCCTTGCTCTAAGACGAAGAAGAACAACTAAATGATTCGTTGCAGAGGATGAAGAGCGAAATAGAAGGCACCAATTCTTGACGAAGCGATCCGAAGAAGAGTTTCGCAAATTTGCTCAAATCATGCCATGTGAGAATGTTATAGAGTTTCTTCCGCCTTTTTGTGAAGATGAGATAAAAGAGAATATCTTTTTGTTATCGTTGAAATGGGGGAGTCAAGGGGTTAAAGATGATGGAAAGGAAAGAGGGCGTTTTCTTTTCTGTTATGGTGGTTAGCGTCATGAAAAAAAAGAGAGTGGGAGTATTACTGTAACGAGAGTGAGGTTGTTGCAATGATAGTCAGGTTACTGTAATGAGAGAGAAGACTAAGTTGTTATGCATGGAGAGAAGGCGAAGTCGTTATGAGAGAGAAGACGGAGTCGTTATGAGAGAGAAGGCCAAGTTGTTATGAGGAGAGAGAGAATGAATCCTTTAGGTATGGCCAAAGAGAGTGAATCAGTTATGTATGGCCAAAGAGAGTGAGGATTCTGTCCATGCATGCTGCGTGAATGACGCATGGACTTGTAGTAATAAACATGTTACTCAGTACATGATATCATACAATAGTTTTTTTCCTAAAAAATTCCGTTTAATACGCATGGCCATGCAACCTCCTTTGCGCTCGTATATATTGATCTATAACATTCCTCGCGACACAATCTTAATATCATTGAAAAGAGGACACATTAAGGAGCATGTTTTATGTTGGCCTCGCGTCGAAATAGCACTCGTAGCGTGTCCTAAAATGGCCCTGAAGTTACTAAATCATAACTAAAATAAATACCAGTAAATTTGTTATTACCGACGATCATCCGTCAATGCTCTAACCTCCACTTTATGGCTCAATAACTTGAAATATAGCATTATTCAGGATGAGATCTCAACATTAAAGTTGAAGAGTGAATTTCTCTAAACAACTTTGATGTTGGAAGTATCTTGAAATAACACTTGAAACATACTCAAAAATGATGAAGTCGTGATATCAAAATTGTCCGCAGTGGCTGATAACTGATCGTGCAGAAATCAATTCCATCATCATGATTTCAAAACCTTGTAACTTTCCCAATAACGACCCAAATGTCGCAAACTTGATACCGTTGGAAAGCGGGTGAATGATAGAACAAGTTTATAGTTCGCCTCCAATCCGGACACGACCTTAATCATAGAGAAAAATGTCATGAATATACACCTTGTAACTGCTCGACATAATGATAGGCCTGGCAGGGTAAGCTCTACGCATGACACCACACATCTTGTCTGCTTCAACCTTCCTACTTTGCGCTTCGATATATCTCTCCATGATGCATAAAACGAAACAAAATTTAAACCCAAAACGAAAAGTACGCAACACACTCCAACTTTCATGTTCGATATTTTTCGAAATGAGAATTAAATTCAAGGGAAAAACCACTATGAACATGTGCACACCACCTGTTCGAAAAAATGATGGTCTGACTAAGCAAGTTTTGGCAGTATTTTGCCTTTCAAGTGCTCGAAACGTAAACGTCATAGCTTTCTCTACAAGGCACCAAATGGGATGATTCTTAAATCAAAATTGGAGAGGAGATTCTGATCTTCAACTTTTATATTCAGAGTTTTTCCATTTGAGTCTAAACGGGACCTTAAAAATAGCCATGAAGTTTCCCCCTTCTTGAAAAATCTTTTGAAAATTATTAAGTGTCCACATTACTTAAAATGCAAGAAACTTCAAATTCGGCCGATTCTTTCGATTTTTCTCAGCGACTTATAAATTTTTCTCATATTTTAACTTTTGTCAATAACCTTGACCAAAAATCTCATTTAGTCAACCTTTGACTTTTGTTGACTTTTACTCATGCACACTTAAATCTCTTCTTATTCAACCGACCCCGATTCTTCTGATAAGAATATGGATATCAGTAGACCACCTACATGTACTTTTAATGCAGATAGAGAACCATGAGACCATCTTAAGCTTGAAAAATCAGTTAAATCATGTCACCGATCAAGAACACTAATTGCATTACAAAGATAGTAAATGTTGACCATAACTCCAAACATTAATTCAACTGGAATATCTTGAAGAACTCTTGTACCCATATACCTCGTGACTTGAGATGAAGTTTAGGATGAAAAGACTTCAGATACTTGACCTTTGAAGATAGATCTTCTCGTCTTGGGCAGTGTTCGTTCGTCTGACCAAAATACTTAATCCCACATCACCGAGTAAATGTAATGCAAAAGATCAGCGTGATAATGACAAAACATAAGCCACTTTATTTACAAATAAGAGGGCAAATTTTAGGGTACAACATCTACACACAAAAGGCTTAAGAACCCTTAACCCATACTACTCAAAATTTTCTTTTGTCCCTAAGCTTGCTTTGTATTTTCATCACATATGTAGCTTATGCATTTTCTCGTGCACTTATTTTTCCAATACATGTTATTAAGGATCCTCAAGATGTTCCCGAGAAACGGAGAAAGGGTATCCAGATTGAAGAGGTCGAAATCAACACCATAACTTGACACTCTTCACCTGGCACTCCTAGGAAAGCAAAGAAGTCCAAAGTTGCTCAAACTTCCCCCAATCCTAAGGTTGCTGCCTCTCCAAAGGCTACTCTTGTTTTCAAAGCAAAGACCATGAAGACTGGGAAGCGAATCGTTTTGAAAAACAACTTTAAGGTACCAAAACCAGTTGTGTCAGTGGCTCCCAGCAAACTTGAAAGCACGAATTCAAGCCCAAATGTTGGACTCCAAGTATCACTAACTTCGACGAACACTTTTTCTTGTTAAAAGAAATATTTCTAACATTTTTCTTCTTTCTTTTTAAAAACATACGGTTGATAAAGTTTCGTCGACCATAAAATTCTACATGCCTGCAACCACCAGCTCTCCCCAATTCATTACCCTTTTGTAGAGGATGAAAACCAGCCCTCGTAAGTCTAAAATGATCTCAAATCTCTATTGTTGAATGCTTATCTTCTGCTACCAACATAGAATAGCCAGAATAATGTCCAGAGAATGAACACCATGATATGGACGTAGAAAATCAAACCTTACCCCCTGCCGACCATCCCCAAAGTGATGATGTCGAAGCTCAAGGCAACAAAAATTATGCCCAAGATAAAGCTGCAAAGGTAAGGTTGGCAAAGACAAGGCTGACGACAACCAAGATGGCGAAAACCAGGTTAACCAAGACAATTTGCTGAATCTTGATACTACCCTAAAAGACAAACCAAAATGTCATATTTCATTTGACATTACTTCAACTGCAAAAACTCCATCCTTTACTGAGACGACAATGTCCCGAGATGAACTCGTTGCGCTTAAAAAGACTAGACCCTCAAAGTACTTAAAAATTACGATGAATACCATAGGCATGTCTACTAACAAGTGTTCTAGCTCCTCAACAACTTATGGTGGGATTTATTTGGTCGAAACCATGGAAGATATGATTCGTAAACTTCAAGTTAAACTACTCAGCGATAACTTCTTTGAGATGTTGGAAGTGAATCCCATGGGTTACTTTGGGACCAATGATTTGTTGAAGAAGGTCGACCTCCACACTGCTCATCCAACTATCCTTGGCTTCATATTGGAATTTACACCTTTCTTTAACCAAATCCTTGTTGATATTTCCAGGAAGAATGATGTGTTAGCCAAGATGCAACCGAAACAACATGTTCGATCTCAAAGAATGGTAGTTGGTTCAGCCAATGTGTGGCTAGGACCGAGGCATTAAAGAAGACCCTCGAGCAAGAAAAACAACAATCTGAATCTTGTATTATTGACATTTAAAATGGAAGCAACAAATTAAAGATTTGTAGACGAAGGTGAAAGAGGATGAAGCTCTTCAGGCTATGATGTCCATGATAAGTTCTAAATTGTAGTTATTATAAGTAGTATTTTATGTCACTTATTAGATTGTTTCTTTTGATTTCTTTGACAAAACCTCAACTTTAGTATAAATAATAGCTTTATAGTTTTATCATGTAAATATTGTATAGATTAATCATTTTTTAATCTTATTTTGTATGATTCTTTGCATGGTTGAAGCATTGTGCATCATAGGGAAAATAAAGCTTCAAGATGTAATTTTTAGATGGAAATAATGAGTTCTGGGTCGGGCTAATCGCACTCAAAGCGTGCTTGGACTATCTGGACAGAAGGTAGCATGCTTAGTGCACTATTTGGGGCTAAGCATGATCTGCAACATTAGGTGGTTTAGGTGTTTTAAATGGAAGCACGCTAAGCACAAAAAATTGGGCTAAGCGCGATCTTGTTGGCTCCCGAATTCGACACTTACTATATTTGGTCTTTTAGACCAAAAACTGGAATAAATCAAGCCAAGAATGTTTCGACGTATGGAATAACTTAGAAAAAGATCTAAGTTGTATTTGAGCCTTCGACCAGGGCTCACTTTCAAGGTTTCGACTGAAGAGGACTTATGACCTTCGACTAAGAGAAAATACCCTCGCTTTGACACATAATACGAGGGACATTTGAATTTGAATTATTGGAGGGAAAGACAGTTTCTCTAGCGGCTAAGAAGAAGCAACGTGGCTGGAAGCTAGAGGTTGAGGGACATGCAGAAGACACTTATCTTAATCTTAGCGCAGAGTCGTTCCTCGACGGTTACTTAGTTTTTAGTATAAATTAGGAAATCTGTGTAGTTTTTAGTGGTGTTCAACCTATTGTGCTAGTTACTCAAATATTGTCCAAGTAACCGCTATGTGAGAAAGGATAAAATTGAGAAATGTATGTTGGAAACACCTCTTTTTATTAATGAAAGTCTTTTACATTGCTTTAATCTTATTTTGCAAAGTTATCTTTCATGCCTCTTTACCTGCATTTCCACATTTCTGTCTACTTTTCCAAAATCTCAAGTATCTTTTCTCTGGTGGAACGTGCGTTCTTCCTGATTGCTTGTCTTACATAAAAAATTAGCATATGTTCCGGGATCAATCTGATCGATCCCGTGAGTAACCAAAAGAACTTTCCTTTTTTGGAGGATCAGCGGTTGTTTACCAAAAACCACGGTAAACAAATTGGCGCACCCGGTGGGACGTTGCTAATTTTTATTAAATATCTTGTTTATGTTATTGCGTTTCTTATGTACAGTTATAATGTTGCATGTTATTAAGTAATGGTAGAGTAACCAACGAGTATACTGTTAGGAATAAAAATAGCGAGAGTAGTATGGCTAACGAGCCAAATCATGGAGAAATACCTCCACCAATTACTAGAACAGTGGT